GCCCCTCCCCCTCACCGCCGCCCCCGGCCCCATCGCGCCCCGGAAGCGCTCGGGGCACACGTGACCCGCGCGCACGTGACGCGGCTTCCCGCCAAAACCACGCCCCCTCCCGCCGGCGGCCACGCCTCCTCCTCGGGAAGCCACGCCCCTCGCGCGGCGTCGCCTCGGGACTACGTTTCCCATCAGGCCCCGCGCGCGCGGCCGCCATGACAGCGGCTGGGGAGGCGCTGAGGGCTCCGCTCGCGCCCGCGGCCGCCTCCCAGCCCCGCTGTGGCGCCAATTTTGGCCGTTTAAGGATCCCGTAGGGCCCGGCGGGAAGCGCGGCCTGAGGTAAACCCTGGGCCGCCCGGTGATGAGGGCCTCGCGTTTCGTTCCCCGGTTAAACCGCCCGTCCTCCGCCTCACAGCGCTAATTAACCCCCCGCGGCAGCGCTAATTAGGGAGGAACGCCGTGAAAAGAGCCCGGCGGTGGCGTCACGCCTCTGTGACGTCACGAAGCGCCTCAGCCGCCAGGGACTACATCTCCCGGCAGCCCTCGCGGCCCGCGGCGCGCTCACCCCTAGCGCTGACCGACAGCCGGCTCAGCCAATGGCGTTGCGCCAGCTCCCCACGCGGCCCCGCCCTCCACACCTCCCCTCAGGAAGCGCTGATGGACGCGGGGAACAACCAATCACGCGAGGGGAAGGCGGGGCTTGCGCGGAGCGACGCGCGGCCCAACCAATCACCGCGCGTCAGCGGAGAGCGCTGACCAATAGCAGCGAAGAGGCGGGCCTTAGGCGGCCGGCCCCGCCCGCCGCCGAGGCGGGTAGCAACAGTTGCCCCGGTGAGGGACCAGGGAGGCCGCCATAGCCACGGTCACCGTGGCGACCGCGCTCCGGCCCGGCCCGGCCGCTGCCGCCGCCGCCCCGCGCTCCGCCGAAAATGGGGGGGGCTGGGATTAAAGTGGGCAGAAATGGGGGGGGAATGGGAATTAAAGTGGCCCAAAAGGGACAGAAATGGGGTGAAAACGGGCAGAAATGGGGAAAATTGGGGGGAAATGGCACAAAATGGGGGGGGCTGGGATTAAAATGGGCAGAAATGGAGGGGAATGGGGATTAAAGTGGCCCAAAAGGGGCAGAAATGGGGTGAAAACGGGCAGAAATGGGGAAAATTGAATTAAAGTGGCCTAAAATGGGGTGAAATGGGGGTAAAACGGGCAGAAATGGGGTGAAATTTCATTAAAGTGGCCCAAAAGGGGCAGAAATGGGGTGAAAATGGGGGTGAAATGAACAGAAATGGGGTAAAATATAATTAAAGGGGCCCAAAAGGGACAGAAATTGGGTAAAATGGGGGTGAAATGACCCAAAAGGGACAAATATGGGGTAAAATTTGGGGTAAAATGAGGAGAAATGGGGGTAAAATATAATGAAAGTGATACAAAATGGACAGAAATGGGGTAAAATTTCATTAAAGTGGCACAAAAGGGACAGAAATTGGGTAAAATTTCATTAAACTGGCACAAAAGGGACAGAAATTGGGTAAAATTTGACTGAAATTGACTGAAATGGGGTAAAATTCAATTAAAGTTGCCTAAAATATCCAGAAATGGGGTAAAACAGGGTGATTTTGGATAAATTTGGGGTAAATTTGAGATAAATTTAATATAAATTTGGGATAAATTTAAGGTAAATTTGGGATAAATTTCGGGTAAATTGGGGTAAATTTGGGATAAATTTAAGATAAATTTGGGATAAAGCTGGGATAGGTTTGGGATAAATTTGGAAGAAATTTGAGATAAATTTAAGATAAATTTGGGATAAATCTGAAATAATTTTGGGATAAGTTTAAGATAAATTTGGGATAAATTTAAGATAAATTTGCGATAAATCTAAGATAAGTTTGAGATAAATTTGGGGTAAATTTGGGATAAATTTGGGGTAAATTTGGGATAAATTTGGGACAAATTTAAGATAAATTTGGGAGAAATTTAAGATAAATTTGGGATAAGTTTAAGAAAAATTGAACATAAGTTTGGGATAAATCTGGGATGGGTTTGGGCTGATTTGGGGACTCATTTGCATAAATTTGCATGGATTTGCATCGGCCCTGGCGCAGGTGCAGCAGCTCCCCCCGGTGCAGCACGTGTTCCCCTCCCCCTACGTGGAGGGGGGGGATGGGGCGTACCCCCCCCCCGGCGGGATGTGAGTCACCCCTCCCCCACCCCAGTGACCCCCCCAT